TAATATTGAATTTCATGCTACAAAAAATTCAAAAGTTTGGGATTATTTTATACTTATTTCTACAAACAGAGCCTATTTTTAAAAAATAATCCGAAATACATCATTGAATAGTTTCTAGAGAAATAAATATATTCAACTTGTTATGTACTATTAATTCTTAAGTAACGATATAGAAAAAAAACATAGCAGTACAAAGTAATGAACATAGGACTTAGAAACGCATATATTTGAGTTTGCATATCTCATTTCGTACATAACTAGTCCAAACAATGCATAATCAAGGTAAAAATCTAAAGAAATCAATTCGTATAGATGATTACATTAGGTACACTGTAACTTTTAGTTTTGTGTGATTGCTCTTCTATTGAGGACAAACTATGACAAAGTCTAGTAAAAAAATAAAACTCAATTGTAAACGTATGAATAATTGCTCAAGAGCATTGTACATTCCATAGAAAGAATATTTTCAACGAATTTATTGTAAATTTCTTTTCATTTGATAATATAAGGAATATGACAAAGCTCTTGAAGACTTCATGCTACCATCAATAGTGACGTAATTAAATAGAAGCTAATTGTGGTATTAGCCCCATTGCCTTAAAGCTTTTTTCTAGTTGCTTCACTAACTATCAGTATCCCATATATTATTTTCAATTACTCTACGCCATATGTTCACGTTCAAACAAAGACAATTGACATTATTTGAACGAGCTCAAAATGTAGTTTAATGTCGATAATCATTCTGGATCTATTTGAACACTCTATGAAAGAAAAACATTAAAAAAAATAATTCTATCCAACAAGATTTGTTTCATTGAATAAGAATGTCGTGTGAATAAATTATTGTCGATTAATTTATCAACAGTATATATTGAAAAATTCATTTTATTATTAATCTAGTCGATTCAAATGACTTGATTTATAAAGTAATGGAAAGAGAAGATCTTTTCTGACAGAGATTAATGTTAGACAATCAATGAAAATTACCTGAGACAGAAAAGAAAATATATCTTGAACTGGAGACAAGAATGTGCATGAAAGAATTGTTTATTAAGATGATTCTCTTGACTGTATTCAACAAATGATGAAAGAAGTTAATAAGTTTGAGAAAAAAAAATGAACAGATCAACTTGTAATCGATTTCATTTGGAACTCTAACGAGTTCATTTAGGTTGAAAACCACAATAAACTTAAGGACAATATACAATTCATTATTCTTACAAGGAAAGGTTCTCAACTGATCAACACTGTTTTCAATGATATTGTGTTTATATATCGGAGACAGTATTCTAAAAAAAAAATCCTAAGATGGTTTGGACCGATAGTGCTTCTTTCGAAGGTTATGACCGTTTTATTGATTTTTCTACCTAGCACAAAGTATATAGGGAAAAATTGAACAACAAAATTTTGCTCATATGTAGTTCTTGTGGTCATTAGAATGTTCTAAAATTTTCAGTGGAAAAAAAATCTTTCCTTCTGGAGATATTCAATTTTAATAAAACTCAATCATTCAGAACTTGATAGATTATGAGACAAGTTTTTAAGAATTAACAAGTAACATTCATCGACATCAAAGGTTGATTCACTGGATCCTAGACTGACGGAATGATGACAAACAGATGGTTGTATTTTTATGGTCATGTGTGTCATAATAATGATCAATTGTGCCAAGCACTTGTTACAGACAGATAGACACAGGTAAATTACGGTTTCTAGACCTTAGCCGTTCAGTCTAAGGAATTACATTGTACTTCAGTATAAACTAAAAGAAATGAAATGAGGCAAAAAGCAATTAAGAATTTGAAACAAACATCAATTTTATTAAGAAGATATCCTATCGTAAAAACAGACGAAACTACATAGCTTTCATTCATGCATTATTTCAATATTGTTTCATAGAAGTGAGGACGACAAACGATTATTGAGATAACTTTAGAAGATCGAACAAAGTTGTCCAGAAAAATCGTCTTCCTATTTTTCAGATGTTCGATCACCTTACTAATTATAATAAAACTTGAACGTGATCAGTTATAAATAAAACAAGAGCAAAAAATAGATATATATCCACGTCATCAAAATTGGATCATTTGTATCAATTAATTACGATATCTCAGGAACAATGTGTATCAGTTTACAAACTTATTTATATTATTATCAGCAATAACTGAAGCAGTAATCACTATTCTAAACAAATTATTGTCTTTCTTATTTAGATTAATCACAAAAAAAAAACAGATTCATCATCAAGGACGATTTTAGAAAATAAATTATATATAATGAGTGTTTCATAAGTAACAACCCCATTTTTATTGTTTTCTTATCTTTGCCATATTTCAAGGTTAATAGTCATTGATGATATAGTTTTGAAGAGTAGTATCTAAACTATCATTCAAGGAGAATGACACTCAATTTGCATCAACTCTAAGAAAGTGTTGTATTGGTGCAAATATTGAAAAATATTTTTTCTATAAAGTATGACCTTGTCAATATTTTGTAAATACTTCTCTCAACTTTTGATGGTTTGATTTGAATTTTTTTTTCTAAAAGATAGTCTATGAAATTCTCTACAAAATCCAATAAAACAGCTGTTCAAACGGATAACTTCAGATGGCTTGAAATCTGTTTAGTCACGATAAAAGAAAAACAACAACATTTGCAGGAGTGGGTCTTTTTCGAATGTAATACTTTTGATCAGATATGCTTTTTCAGTTATCCGTTTGAACAGCTGTTTTTATTGGATTTTGTAGAGAATTGCATAAGCTATCTTTTGGCAAAAAAATTCAAGTTAAACCATCAAAAGTTGAGAGAAGCATTTACAAAATATTGACAAGGTCATGGTTTATAGAAAAATTTTTTTTTAATATTTGCACCAATGCAGCACTTTCTTAGGTTTAATGCAAATTGAGTGTCATTCTCCTTGAATAATAGTTTAGATGGTACTCTTCAAAACTATATCATCAATGACTATTAACCTTGAAATATGGCAAAGATAAGAAAAACATAAAAATAGGGTTGTTACTTAAACAACACTCTTTATATATTTTTTTTTTGTTTAGATTAATAATAAGTACAATTTTGTTGATAAGTATCATTAAGAAAAAATAATACTTTTCTATTGACAAGGGAAGGAAATGACGCACTGATCCTTGTTATCATTGATGAGATGCTCATGTGAATAGAACAATCAATGACGTCATATATAAAAATTTACTGTAGCTGTTGTAATTCTCGTACTGGACTCCTGAGAAATTTCCTTAAGTCCTCAACAAATCTTTATTGTGATTTCCTAGGAATTCTTTATCGGAAGTTGACTAGAATTATTTATTTATCAATTTAACAAAAAATTGTAGATTCATTACAAGTTGTTATGAAAAAATGGGGAAACAATCGTCAATTGAGATGACTCAATCAAGATATAATCTTACAATAACCGAACTCATTCATTGTGATAAAATCGCCGATTTCGATCACATGGAGATATAACAAGGAATAAATAGTGGAATTCTGAATTTCAAGATTCCGCTATTTACCCGTTAGGATATAAACAAACATTAGTTGAAGAAAATGTCTATTATTTTGAGTAATTACTAAAGAAAAAGCATCAAAGAATTTTTGTTTATTCGTGTTCATAGAATAGCGGAAAAAGTCTAAGAATGTGACATATTCAAAGTTTGGTATACTTCGACCTAAAAAAAAGGAAGTTTAGTTAAATACACTCGGATGATTATACCATAATGTAGAAACGTAAAATGAGTTAATATACATGGAAATTAACCTTTCTAACAATTCACAGTAAAAAAAAACAAAAGAACATTTCTCTGTATGTTTTCATTGCATTTCCGTTAGTAATTCATTTAAAATTGATTATTTCTTTCTTTTCACATCAACCTCACAATACAATTAATAATAATGAAAAATTGCATAGTTCTATTTTTAAAAAGAAAAAAAAACCAACTATATATCTCAATTGATGTAACTTTCTAAGATCTTTTTAAAACTTTAAAATAAAACCACAATATAACGATTCATTAAACGTATTTCTTTCTTTAAAAAAAACCGAAAAGTTCAAAAAATTCAAATATAAAACATGGTCAGATTGTTCTAGCCTAAATAAGACAGAATGTTTTTTTATTATTTTGAGATGAATCGAACGAGAAAATGAACTATCTAACAATTGAAATGTTCTCATTTCATTTTATACATATATCGGATATTGTTCATCTCTTAACTTAATACATCATTTTTCATTTAAATTAATCAATATCTCTTAACGAACAATCTAAACTAAGATAGATAATTAACCCTTTAGTTATTGACAAAAGATACACAGTGACTTTACATCACGCACATTTTCATTTCTCAACGCATAAGTTTAATATGAGCCATAAGAAAATCATGATATGGAAAGCTCCTGCTGTTTGACATTTATTTCTACGCAAATGCATCGAAAAAATATACATTATAAATAATTACATTTGCTATAGGTGATGATAAAGCTGGTGACACGTAGAGATAGATCGGTGACCATAAAAGAGTAAAATGATCTCTTAGATATTTTTTATTTAACTTTTTGTGATATTCTTTCCATTTTGAAAATCATAACACGATTAACTTAATAATGAACAACATATGGGAAATGAGAACTGTTTTAAAAAAAAAATTTGTTTAAATATTTAATATATATGTTTGGTAGTATAAAACTTATACAGAATATTTTTGCAAGAAAATATTGTTCATATAATGTATAGTGAATCGTTTAACTTGAAAAATTTTTGACACTGAGATGAATCTTTTCTTGAAAAAACAAATGAAATTTTTCATGTTCTTGGTAAAATTTATTGAAATTTTACGTAAAAGAAACAACAGCAACAAATTATCTTGAGATTTTTTTAGATTTTCTATTATGAGATCAAAAAATGATGTAAACTTAGATTAAAATAAACAGAATAATCAAAGACACAAGAGGTCTAATGAGATCATCTGTTATAATACATTTATAATTAATGACAATATCGAGTTAATTCTGAAACGTTACAATGATTTTCACAACATGACTCTGCAATAACACGTTTGGGTCCATATGCTGTTGAATCTAAATGATGAATATATGATAAATCTGGTGATCGTTTCAAATTTAAGATTTCATCTGGTATTTTATGTTGTTCGACAAGTCGACAAACTACACTTAACATTAGAAGTAATTTTGGACCACATGCATGATATACACGTTCCAATAAACAATCTTCAATCCGAAAAAGTTTCTTTCGGACTTTTATCAGACTACCTTCAACAAATACTTGACCATCATATTCAACTGCACATTGACCATCTTTTACAACTTGTCGATAATGTATCCCAAGTGATTTTATATGTTGCGTTGTTCCTTTTATTTTATTGTCAAGTTGACGAGAAAAAATTGTATTTTTATAACCATAATGATCTTCTTTTTCATTAGAATCAGTAATGTTTGCTGGCATACATCGAATGAATGCAACGATTGTTGAAAGGTATAAGAGAGTATAGTAGTTCAACATAATTCTTTTTATCATTATCTTAAATAAAATACTAAAATTTTTAAAATTTCCTTATTAATCAAATCTTAGAAATTTTATTGAAATTCTTACTTGTTATCACGCACCCTGCGTTATAGGAAACGAAAGTTTTGTTTGCCTGCAAATATATTACAGTACTTTGTCTAGATATGTTGTATATATATATATATATATATATATATATATATACCATATTTCCTCTTATTAAAAAGAAGAAAAAGAAAAAGAAAAAAGAATATTATGCTTTCCTACCTATAATATTTAATCAATGCATAGTGCATTGTTATCACCTCTCGCTTTTGTTGGCACATCCAAAAGACAGGTGGCAAAATTGTCAAACTTATGAATATCAGGATTTCACAATTTTTTCACTTTGATTTGATAAATAAATAAAAATTTCTTCACTAAACCATAAGTGATATAAGCTGATTAAGATATTTTGAATACATTTTAAACCAACTAGATTTTCTTGAAAATCATTGAATATATTGTGTTAAATTAATCTCAAAAAACAAAAGCATATTGCAATTCTTCTATATATGTAAAAAAAAAGTTTTTGGATATTTGAATGTAGATATATTTTTATTGAATTTTTATCACTCTATAGTAGTAAGGTCAAAGAGTATATTGATGAATTTGCTTTTTTTCTGAACTAGGAAGTCGATCCGTATCCATTGTTGAGTTAGACTTATTCTAATCTGTTTTTGTTTTGCAACCGACCTAAATAAAAATATTCACATCTACTAAACTGTACTCATACAATATAAACAATTTTTATATTTAATATTGCGCGATTTTAGCATTGAGATGTAAATTATGTAATATAGATTGATTGAAGAGAGAATTAAATCATCTATAATATATTGTTTTTGTACTTGAATACGAACGACTCTTTTACCACTATGATGTAGAAATTTATAAATGATTCTTATTATTACTTTTTCCTTTCGATTTGAGTTTATTTTCGAAAATGATTTAATGCCCTTGTAAGATAGGTTCTTATGATATTTTTTGAAATGTTTTATTTCAGTTGTGAATCTACATTCATTTTTTAAACATAAGATTTTCTTGATTTTCTTTTTGGTTTAATTTTCAGAAATTTTTTTTTCTTCATGTCAAAAGATATAAACGTAACTTTTCTCTTCGAAATCTATATTGTATCATTAAAAATGAATATTTTCTTTAAAAAATGATTAAATAAATAAACAACTGATGAAGATGAGTTTTTTTTTAAAATCATGAAAATGTGTTAATTAAATATGAAGTTGATAAAATACGAAGAATAAATCATGTGTTCTAGTTATGTTTGCAGGCGCTCATTAATTATTTTGATTGTAAAAAATTATCATTGAAATTTTTCATGAATCAGGATATAAATCAGAATGGAATTCCTGTTACCGGAGAGCAACAAGTATTAACAATATTCTTCTCTATTTGAATATGAATATACCTGTGGATAATACTAAAAACAATATGTCGTATTAATGTGGCAGACTGAATATGAACAATTGGCGAATAACAAATATAACGACATTAGCTTCACACTTTCATCATAAACCGTGTCAAAAAAAAGTGCATGTGCGAAGAAAACAACATAATTTTACTCATTAACAATCGAAACCTGTCAAAATGAATAATCTTTAAACAACAGAAGTGTTTCCTTTGATTAAGACTTTCAAATTATTACCAAAGTCAATAAATTTATTTATTTATAAAAAGTCAAGTAGACAATAGATTCTTTTTTTTTGGGATCATTCAATAGTCGATCTATTATAAATTTGCATGAAGAGACTCTTCATCGAAACGTTAAAGACGTGAAAATAATTCATTCGTGAACGAATTCAGTAGCCTCAAATGAAATATCCTTGATGACCTTTAAAATCCAATTTAATTTAAAATAAAAAACTTTTAGATCATATGGTTAACATTACATTCGCTATGTAATGTTTTCCTTGGTGTTTTTTTTCTGTCTTAACAATGTTAATAAAATTGTCCACAAAAAGTAAAAATTCTAAAACGAATACAAGATCATTGACGCAATTTATTGTTAAAGTTTTTTCATTTGTTTGTTCGATTCAAACAAAGAAAAATATTTATTAAAAACACGAACATTGTTCGTTTGTTTATTTAGGTTGAAAAGGTTTTAACGTCAAAAGATCACATATCATCAATAAAATCTTCATCATTTAAATACAGACTTAGTCATATAGAATGGGCTCATCTTTTCCACTTAGTGATACAATTATTTTAACTTAGCTTATTTTTTTTTGTACCGATATTATAAGTAAATACTACTATTAACTATTATTGTTGGTATTATTAAAGAAATTTTATCTTTTATCAATTAAGAAAAATCCATGTGTAGTATGTTGCATAGATCATTTTTAATTGTCATTGTAAAGAATACGAAGAAGAAATCAAAACGAATTTGAAAACTAGTTTAGTTAAAAGTCAATGATTACAATGTTCAAGCATGGAGCATTGGTTTTTTTTGCCATAAAATTAGCATTTTGATGTCTAAAGAACAGTAATTTATGTATTTTAGATATGGGCCAAGAATTTTATAATTTAAATTGATTAGTTTTGAAAATTTATTGTGTGTATGAGTATAGTATTATTAATAAAGGTTGTTTTGACTTTTTCTGATTATGTACTTTGATAACAATTGAAAATTAATCTATAATCTCGCTGCATATGGATTTTTCTTATTTGACAAAAGGATTAAATTTGTTTAGTGAAGCAAGAAATAAAAGTTAATCGTGACATTTATTTACATTATTGGTATAAAAAAATAATTTTACATATATTTCTACTATAAACTAAAAAACAAACCTATTCGAGCGAAGTGAAGCGTATGTAGTTTACTTTTTTTTTAATTTTAGTGCTATTTATGGCCCATCTAGTATTTTATATTTCTCTGCATTTGAAAACTTTGATAAACAAATAAAATCTATTTGATCTTTTAAATAACCCCTATTCTGTGATGAATATTTAAAATGCCTAAAACATGAATTGATATTAATATTTAATACGTAGCTAAATTCTTAATCTTCATTTTATATTGAAAGGTGTTCGAAATGTCTTGTTCTATATTAAATAATTAAGAACGATTATTTAAAGTGTAAAACAAGATTTTGCGTGGTATTATCTGGTAGACTTGTCAATGATATTTACTTGTTAAATATAAATCTTTTTTTTTGTAAAAATATCTATGTCAATTTGACATTGTTAGTTGTAATTGCATTTATATTGATGATATCGTGATTTATTATTCTATATATTCTAGATGTACTTGATCAGATTGTGATAGATTCTCTTAAATTCTTAAAATAAATATTTCTTTTTATGATTAAATTAAAATATCTATCGTATTTTATAAATCAAAATATAATAATTAGAAATTTATTCAATGAAATATTTTTCTCAAATAATATTTCTTTTATATTTAGATCATAGTTTTTGTTTATTATTAATTAAATTTATTTTATTTTGCAAATTAATCGAAAATTTTACTAATTTATATCGAATATTGAATAGTACGAATAAATAGAAAAGACAAATTGATCTTGAACAAAATTTAATAAATAATAAAATATTCTCTTAATGTTTCCTAAAAAAAATATTTTTATATGATTAAATTATCTTCTATCAAGCCATCGTTATTCGTATAGACTTTTAATCTTTGAATAGCACACAAGTTTTATTGATTATTTTACGTAAAGCTCTAATACACAAGGACTTTTGAGATAGTCGGAATCTTTATAAATACAACAGATAAGAAATACAACAGACAATAAATACAACATTTATATATAGTTTTCATGTATTTTGTATATTTTTTGATAGAAATCGAATAGTTTGAAATAGATATGTTTTTTGTGGTGTTTTTACCATTCTATAGGACAAGATTGAATAAATTCGGATACTGTACATGCACTTTCACAACAATCATTGTAGTATGTTCGATCTAAATATTCAATAAGATCATTGTGTATTTGTCGATGTGTATCAATTTTTTTATTATGATTTTGTTCAATAAATGAACAACTTAAATCGCGTAATTGATAAAATAATTTTGAACCACATGCTACAGGATATGCCCGATTTAATTGACATCCTTCGACTTTAAACCATTTGTTTTTTATTTTTATTATTTCACCTTCATTTAATATTTTAGATTCTTCATTTAGTTCTACTGTACATATACCTATTTAAATAAAACAATATTTAGATTATTCATTAACAATTCTCTCTCTCTCTCTCTAGTTCATAAAGTAAAATAGTTTTATTTGGTAATTGAATAACTAATCTTTTAATAAATATAAAAAGCATACCGTCATCAGAAATACGTTGTGTATATGTGCCACCGACATTTTTTATTGTATATTGTTTACCATCAATGTATTTTTTACTTGAACTAGGATCAATAGATAAGCATCCTATTAATGAGTAGCAAGATGCTAATATAAGAAGATTTGTGAACATTTTATTTCTCCTCAGTTTAGTTGATTATAGAAATGGTGAGAATCAGAAACAACGAGTGAGTATATAAAAGGATATTAATGTTACAAAGAAGAAAAAAATAGTTAGAAAAAAAAGACACAGCAAGTATTACAAGAACAACACTTGTGGGTGGTTAAGAAATATAGAAAGAAAGAATAAATTATGATTGTATTTATTATGATTCATATTAAGGACGTTTTATTTTTTCTTTTTTTTTTTATATATATTCTATTTGACAGTCACAATAAGAAGGATTATCGAATACAATCATAAATTAATACATTAAACAATGAGGGCTGATTAAAAAAAAAACACTAATAATTAAAATTTTTTCTTTTTCTGGAAAAGTTTTTCATTCTGTTTTATATAATTCTTGTCATAGTGATTGATGTTCTTAGTGTCAAGATTTTGAGTTATTCTATTTGCTTGAGGCTTTTAAATAAAGTAATGAAATTGATGTTAACACTAGAATATAAAAAATGTATACAAAAGATAAATTGTTACTCGAATTTTACAATATATTTTCAATAAATTCATGTTATTATATTGTCATTTTCTACGACAAATTCTCACTAAATATCTGATTCATTTGAGATATATTAACATTAATAATTAATAAAGCTATTTATATTATTTTTGAAATATTCTATATATGACAAATAAATAATTATCATTTAAGAATTGTTTAGAAAAAAAAAAACAGAAAACAAAATAATCTTCTATAGATAAATTGTTTCTAGTTGAATATTTTAAGTTAATACATCGTCAATTTATATTAATTCAAATAAATAAAGAAAAATAAATATAAATTCAAATATGATACAATGATATATAATCTTTTGTCATGGCTCTCTGGCGAATTAGTAACGAAACGTAGGAACAAAAAAACCTAATTAAATCTATATATATATACAAACTATGACGTGATGATTTGCCTAGGAGTAAAAAATTTTCTTGATTACAAAATAAAAGTACATTATGTATATGTCGCAGTAGAATTTAAAATTCTACTAGTAGAATGTTGATATAAGTAGTATTGATTATCATCAAGATAATAAGTTTTTAAAAAATTTCGATTATAAATCCCTTCAAGAGAAAACTGAAACTTTTTTCATAAAAATTTCTATTTAATATATATTTTGAATATAATATAGAATAAAAATAAAATCTGAAAACTTGTCACATTTTCAAAATTTTCTATTTAAAAGAGTCGAAGAAAATTATTATTCTATAAATCATCATAAATATATTATTATCTTTCATTTGATACTGATTGTTATGTTATTTAAATATTTAATTATTAATTATTATAGATTAGGATTATTTAAATATTAATCAACAAAAATGAAGACTAAATTCTTCATGCAGTACTGAAATTGACGTCATTTTTACATGAAATATTTCCTTTTAAATTCATAACGATTTCACATTTCATTGATTTTCATGCGAAAGAAGTATCATTCTTTCATAAACATCGGAAAAAAGCAATGTTTTCTCCTCCGCATACGGCGCAAAATTATAATTTAAAAAAATATTTTTCCGTCTAAATATAAAATTCATAATATCAACATATCGTAACCTCGAAATTCAATTGAATATGTTTAAAATTCTCCGAAGAATTTTTATTGAATTTTTTGTTTATATAATCAATTATTAATTATTGTAAATATTATAAATAATAATAAAGTAAAAACAAAAATAAATCCAACTAAATCACAAGATGTTCTATAGGGAACAAAAAAACACTCCATATAACCTAAGTTCAATCAGTACAAAAAAAAGTGTTAATCATTCTATTTTGAAATAATTACAAAGCGCAATCAACACAATAAGTGAGACGACTTCCTTCCCTAAAAAAAACCTTTTAGATAATGTATTTACCTGTTTATTTAACCAATAAGAAAGTAGCATTGTTCAACATATGATATGTACTATGCTTCATAAAATAAACCTTTGATCAAAAGGTTTTCAAAGACGAAAAATTTTAATCTACAATGGGTTTATATTCATATTATTATAAATCCAACAAGAATTACTAATTATCATAGATAAAACAATTCGAACTTGTAATATATTAACTAAAAATCAATTTTTATCATAGTCAGATTTATTTCTCTTAAGCGTATTATTTTTTTTTTATTAACAATTATTACTAAAAAGATTTTTGTTAAGGCCATCCCGATCCCCCGCCTAAAAAAGTCTGTTTTCATCAAAAAAAACTAAAAATTAAGATAAATACAGGTGTTTGCAAAAAAACTTGTACAACTTCTTCTACAGATATTATCTTCTATATAAGTGTTTTTCGAAGTTTTTTTTTATAGTGTGGTGGATAGCCCACGACGAGTACTACACGACACCATAATTTAATATTCCATCTGTTCAGTTGTAGAAGAAAAATAAGACGAACATCTCTTTTTCTTGGACTCAAGAAAAATATTTATAATCGAAATTTCAATATTTTTGACTTTTTCACCGGAAAAATGTTGATTAAATAGGAGCCTTCTTCAGACGTTTTGTATGAGAATTAATGATAGACTACAACGGGTAATATCAAATATCATCATAGTTCAATATTTTATTCATTCACCTTTACAATCGATAAGAGATAAAACATCTTTTTTTCATAGACATCACCACACAATCTATTATAACATTAATATCAATATTTCTGAATTCTTCGGCTAAAAAAATTTCGAGCTCATCAATATTTACAAGTTTCCTTTTTTCCACATTGCGTTTCACTATCGACCATATGTTCTCGCTCGGATTTTCAACCGAACTGTCAGATGGTCAGTCAAATAATTGTGGTTTATTTTCGATAATTTTTTTATTTCGCTATTGAAAAGGAAAGAAATTACATTTCTATATATACAATGTATAGTATATCTGTCGTAGGTTTAGCCCTCAAAAAATGACTTTAGTAGTTAATTATAATAGTAGAGAAACAGGTTTTTAAAAAAAAACAAAATTTTATACAATCATCTGTATATCAGACGATAGATCGAAATCTGATCTCTCGTAAATGACATGAGTTTTTTTTTATTCAGCATCATGGTGTTTTTGCCAAAAACTTTTTGATGATTTCTATCATCATTTCTTTGAAAAATGTTCTTTTTTTTGAAAAAAAGCAGAAAAATGTTTTTCATTTTTTTGCTCTATTTATGCTTCGTTTGATCGCGCGATTCAAAAATCTCCGTAGGCCTTGATTCTATATATATTGAATTTTTTTTTTATTTGAAAAGGGGGATGTCAAGATATAGGACACGACAGAGGCCCTTTTTTATTGCTATTATACAAAAAAAAAAGTATATTTAGAATTAGAGCAACGTTCTCTTTTTTTGAGATTCTCGATATTGAACTTTTTATCCTTTGAAAAATAAAAATTTAATACAAAAGGTCTTTGCCATGGTTTACATCAAGTCATTATCTTTCAACCAAAAAATATATATAATGAACGCCCAGAGGGAATTTTCGCTTGTCAAATGCGTCATTACTTTAGGCTTGTTTTTTAAATATCTTCCTCGAACGTCATCATGTAGGCGGGAAAATTTAATCATAGCCTTTCTACTAAAGCCCCAACACATTCTGAAAATTTCATGTCATTTTGAATGTACTTTGATCAAGATCGATTTTTGAGGGGAGAAAGAGAATTATCTTAAGTTTTATATCGATAGCCCTAACTATAATCACCAATATATCTCATATAATAAAACTTTGTACTATCTTATCATCAGATTGATTTGTATATTAACAAATAAGACGAGTCAAATATAATTTCACCTATTATCACAGCAAAATATATTGTAATAGAATTTAAGAAAGAATTAATCAAGTTTTTGTTCGAACCATTATTTTAGATATATTTGAAGTCATTTGTTGAAAGTATTTGTCAAATAATATTTGATTAAAAAATTTCTCATTTTGATTACAACACTCAATACACGGACTATTAACCATTTTGATCAATCAAATTTTGTTCAATATGGTTGATTAAACAAATAATGGGAATATATTGTCTCATAGTAGGTGACAAATTCTGCATATATTACATAGAAATCAGTTGAAATTTTTCAAAGTAGAAGAACTGCAATCGAACAATCTCTTTCAGCTACACTTTGGTGCTGTAATTTAACCTTAAAACAATATTTTGTAGGCTTTTAAAAAAAAAGGCACATATCAAAATCATTAACACTTCTAATCACCAATTTTCTAAAACTATTTATTAATGGAATGAAAAAACAAAGATCATCGCCTAACGTTCAAAACATTAAAATCATTATAATATTATCCGACAATATATTTCTAAAGATGAATTTACTATCCCACATCAGAATGTATTCAGATATAGCTCAGAAACTTGATTAACTCTTTTCTGTAGGATTTTATCTACCAAAATCATTGTGTTTATTACGCCCCAAATTCATTACAATCATTCTATATATAGCAAAAGAGAACAAAATAATTTATATCATAGTTTTTTTATTAGGAAGTTTTTAATACTTACAATGGATGTGTTTGTGTTGTAAATTAATAAGATTAGATATATTTGAGTCAAACTAACAAATTCAAAATATGAGCTGCTTTTAGTGTGTACAGATGGAGATATTCAAATTTTAAGGCATTTACAGTCTATATAAGCTATCCATAATTCAAAATTTCAATAGAATTTATTTTTTTCTTTCCCCTGATAGTCGGGCAGGATTCGTCGAATTTTGTAAAATTGTCTTTTTTTAAATATGAAACATATTCTCACTAATACAAATCGACAAGTTCCGTCCAACTGTCAAGGAAAAACAAGAATAAATTCTATTGAAATTTTGAATTTTAGGTAGCTTATATAGACTGTAAATACCTTAAAATTTGAATATTTCCGTCTGTGCACGCTAACAGCAGATCATATTTTGAATTTGTTAGGTTGGCGGTGAGCCTTTTAATTTGACCCGAATAGGTCTAGAATATTATTAACTTATAACACAAACACC